AATAGAAGTAAAGTTATGTTGTTTAAAATTTTGGTGATCATTCACAAGACCTGAAATAAATGATTTTAAAAGATTGTCTTTAGGGCGTGGGGTGGGGGTGAAGGGATGGATTTGGGGCTGAACTATTCATATTACATTTTCTAAGCTAATTGCTTAGGATTAAAAAAACTTTTTAAAGAAAGTATCAAATGACCAGAGGTTCACTTCAGTTCCATAAATATTTATGGCACACTTAAATTATGCCAGGCACTGTGCTAGATGCTGGGGAAACAAAAATGACTAAGACATGATATTTTCCTTCGAGGAGTTCACAGTTTAGTAATGGAAATAGGAACTTGGGCAGATGATGTTCTTTCTTTTTCCATTTTAATTTTTCCTATTATAATGCACATGTAGAAAAGACTGAAAAATCCACGCAAAAATTAGAATTACATAAAATCCCATTACCAAAAGATAGTCTTTTCAGTCTTTTTATACATCTATAACCCTCTTTTTGACAATATTTATATTAACTCTGCATATCATTTTTGCCATGAAACAAAAATGTATTAGAACATTTTCCCATTTCTTTAAAAGCTCTTCTATCATATTTAATAATGGCTAACTCATAGTCACCTAAGAAGTCAGCCCCCGTTGATGGGTCTGTTGGCTCAGGCTAAGAGGTTAGATAAAACTTCCTAGTGAAGGTGACTCATCCCTGAGGACATGTCCCGTTTAAATGAGGCATTCTTGTCCCAAGAAAGGTAAAGTGAAATTCCTAACAGTTAAGGCTTTCCTTGGGTCCTCTCATCCTAAATATATTCTCCTGACATAATTTTATTGGACCCATATGGGCTATGGTGTTCACAAATTCAGGCTTTTTAAAGATGTATACACTGCCATTTGAATTTGTCATTTAGGAAATTGTTCTCATTCTGTTTTCTCTGCCATCTGCTATCCACAACCCTGTGTACTCTAGCAGGCGTGGAAAATTCCAGGTCAGTAAGTAGGTGGGAAAGAGGAGGAAGGCAGCTAAGATTACCCAAAGCCTGAGCTCTGGTCTCCTTTTATATCAGGGGCCAACAGTCATGAAGGCCCTGCAAAATGGTTGGTGGAAGAACTCAGCAAGGATGTTATACCTCAGGAGAGCAGTGTGTCCCACAATACAGAGAGAGAAGTGGAGAGGGGAAAAGGGGGGAGAGGGACTGGAAAAGCGGGGGAGGGAAGAGAAATGGGAAAGGAAAGGAGAAGACAAAGAGGAAGAAAAAGGAGACAAAGAAAAAGAAAGCCAGGCAAAGCTCTAAGAGTGCACTTTCATTTAAGGTCTGTTGACTTTCTTCTGAGACCCCAATTACAGAGGTTCCTCCCAAGACCTAATGTTAAGACGAGATTTTACAAAGTGTATTTGATACAAAATTCCTACACAGAGCAGAAGAGCCTCCCACACACTCAGCAGCAGCCCTAGCATGCTACTTTAAGAATTATATACATCAGATTTGCTAGGAGTAAAAGGAAAAGTGAATGATGACTTCCAAAGTGACCTGGATATTGCAGTTCTGGAGTCACACTGCCATAGCAGATGGGATGATTTGGCCTGACAGTTCTATTCACTCTTTGCCCGTGTGAGAGTGAGAACCAGGACAGAGAGGCAGAATAACTATGGAAACTGCAAAATTATGGGAGTTGGGGGTTTTATTTTTTAACTACTTATATGAGAAGTATTTGCCTCTGCTGAAATGAGACTGTGAAATTATGGTGACTCGGATGCAGACGAGGACTTTCCAACAACACTGAGAATGCTACAATTAATCCAGTAATTCATTTTATTGATAATGTACAATTAGGATGCTAAATGATCTGAACATATTACTTCTCTTACTTTAAGTGCTTTACACACATTATAATTAAGCAAAGCAAAGTTAAAATCATACACATAATTAAGGAAAGCAGTGTTAAAATAAATGAAATAAAATTGTTCTCAGTCCTCAGTTTAGTCTCCATGAAAGACTATTTTATACTTTTACAGATGGTAGGGCTTCCAAACACTGAGTGCATAAGTATATTAACGGAGCCTGAAACTGATGTTTAATTTCTTTGACTTGGAGCGGAATTGTTTCCTTTCTTTGCTGAGTGTTTACCTTAAATAGAGGTCCATTCTTCTGTATGTTTGTTAAAGCACAGTAGTTCTGATGTCAAGTACTTTGTTTGGAAGAAGAGACCTCTATTTAAGGTAAACACTCAGCAAAGAAAGGAAACAATTCCGCTCCAAGTCAAAGAAATTAAACATCAGTTTCAGGCTCCGTTAATATACTTATGCACTCAGTGTTTGGAAGCCCTACCATCTGTAAAAGTATAAAATAGTCTTTCATGGAGACTAAACTGATGTTTAATTTCTTTGACTTGGAGCGGAATTGTTTCCTTTCTTTGCTGAGTGTTTACCTTAAATAGAGGTCTCTTCTTCCAAACAAAGTACTTGACATCAGAACTACTGTGCTTTAACAAACATACAGAAGAATGGACCTCTATTTAGAATTTACCAAGAGCCACTCAACACTAAGTTATTAGGCAATATACAGTTTTCTTGGAATAGTTTTCACCTGTTGGGAGACATTGATTTTTGAAAATTTAAGGAGAATATATATACTTATGTTTGTATGGAACAGGCATACAGCATTAAATATTCCTTCAATTTCTTTCATCGAGAAGTTATTTCCACTAACAACCACTCTTAAACAATTAAGACGTTACTGGAAAATCAACTGAGTCCTTTCCCAGTATTTTATGCCATCGAGTGTGTTGAAAATTTGTGATTACACTTTCCACTCTCATGGGAAAAATGAACATAAATTGAATGCCCACTGAATTTCACACAAAATATTGGACATTTAAAAAAAAATATATATATATATATTAACTCCTTAGATCTCAAAAAAGCCCTGTGAGTAAGGTACTACTATGTCCATTTATACATTAGGGAACTGAACCCATGAGAATTACACATCTTCCCAAATTCACAGTTAGGAAGTGCCAAAATAAGGTTTCAAATCCTGATGTGTCTCATTCTGAAGTCCATATTCTCTCTGCAACATTATATTCCTCCTATATATCACCCTAAGTTTAACCTCATTCTAGTAACTTTCCCAAAATGCTGAGGGCCTCCTTATGGTTACCATCTTTATAGGCGTGGTGACTATATCTTCCATAGAGAAATGATGATATAGAACCAGAAAGAATTTTCATTCCAGTGTTAGATTAGATTGCAGATAGCATGCCAGTGGTCGCTAATTTCTGGCAAATGTAGAGGAAAGAAAGAATTTTATTTGGGGCTACCTTGAAATAGGACGGAGAGTCAGGAAGATAGATGCAGTGATATATTGACACATTTGCAGTAATGTATCCATTTTGATGCTAAGAAACTTTAACAGATCTCCTCGGACATTGAGATTTTGGTACAGGGACAGTTTGATGGATCCTAATAGACAAACTACTAAATTTTTAGTCTTTTTTTTTTCTTAAACCAAAAGCTGTTAGATGATTTCACCGAACCCCTGAGCTTACCTCATTGTCAATCCTGTCCAGGATGGGGGTCAGGGCTGAAATCTGAGTATCACTGAGAGCTGATCTGCCCGTAAATGTAACTACACCTAGCTCTCAACTCTCCCAGTGCCACAGCCCTAGTTGGGTCCAAGGCCTTCTTGGACTCTCTGCTGCTGTCTGCAGAGGCCATTCTGATTCTGCTTGACTAACGACTAGTGCAAATTCTTGTCCTACCTTTTCTGACTTTAAAATAGTTGACCACTCCTTACAGTGGGAAATTCCTAGAAATCACTTTTTTTCCCAGTAGAAGACCCATCTCCAAACCCCATCAATTCTTGAGTTCTTGTGAACAAAGTCTTCTATCTAATTATAATTTGGTGGTGTTCTGAGAAAGGGGAAGTCTTAGCGAGAAACTGGGGATTAAATACTCTCTGAGAAATCTCACCGAGACAGGAGTCATATATATATATACATATATATACAAACGCGCGTGCACGTTCACACACACACACACACACACACACACCACCTGGCTCCTCTCAGAATGGCAATGATGACTGTAAGTAGAATACCTGTTTTTCTCTACGAATGCATTTGTTTCTTTAATGGCCTCAGATTTTCTGATAGCTCCCTTAAAATATAAGTAACACAGAGCTGAAGCGAGGTTGGTGATGGGAGCCATAGGAATCTCAGCTTCCACTTGCTCAGAAAATCCTCAATTACATTTCTAGCAATTTTCTCCATACCTTTATTGATCAAAATGTGTTATATTTAATATCTGAAAACTCATTTTAAGTGATGACTTAGGGGAAAGACTAATAAAGTTTAACTGGTTATAATAGACTTAAGATTTTATTTATTTATTTTTGAATGCATGCATGCACAAGTGGGGTGTGTGTGGAAGAGGGGAGGGAGAGGGACAAGCAGACTCTGTGCTGAGGGCAGAGCCCATTAGGGCTGTCCTGACCGTGAGGTCATGACCTGAGCCGAAATCAAGAGTCAGACACATAATTGACTGAGCCACCCAGGCACCCCGCTAATAGACTTGTTTTTAAAATGTATTTGTTATTATGATAACCACTGAACTATAACTTTATAGCTTATTTAATGAGATGATATTAAAATAATTTTTCATGGCCATTAAACTATACTTAACTTTAAAATAATTTAGATGCAAAAAGTACAAAATAAAAGTTTATCATAGCCAGAAAAGCTGCTAACAGAATGAGTGTGAGTCACAGGGGCCTCTTTTGTCTATTACTGAGTATTTTTAAAAGGTGTTTTTACTCTGATCAAACCATTTGGATTCAAGTGACTGCATCGGGATGCCCTCTGACAGAGTAGCTGTACCAAAACAGCCATACCAACATGGCCACGTAAGCATCCTCCGCTGAATTCAGGATACATGAACTGTAAATCTAGACTTAAGGGGTGAACCCCTCCATCCTAGTTCTCTCCCATGTATGCTGTGTTGTCCTCTCTAGCTTTGATGCATGCGCTGGTGTTTGGAAACGTGACGGCGATCATACAGAGGATGTATTCCAGATGGTCCCTCTATCACACTAGAACTAAGGATCTGAAGGACTTCATACGGGTCCATCACCTGCCCCAGCAGCTTAAGCAGAGGATGCTCGAATATTTCCAAACAACCTGGTCAGTCAACAATGGAATAGATTCAAATGAGGTAATGTTCATTTCTCATGTCGAAGTCTTCAGGCAGAAAGCACATATTCTTAGGTAAAAGCAAGGTGCTCTAATGCAGGTCTCAGAAGAGAAGTACACACCCACCAACTTCTTTATCTCCAATTTTTAGTCCCTCATGAAACTCAGTCCATCATCTTTCATCTGCTTCAGCTTAAGTTTTCATGATGTCACTTTGGATGGACCAATGTTTTACACTGATTTATACTTCGGTCGGTTGGGTGGTCTTTCATTCTCATTGACCCTCTTTGGAGGAACCAATCAATTCTTGGAATCACTGAATTGTGTCAAGTTGGATTATTAGATTAACCAAGTTACTGGGTGCCTTTAAAACGAACAAAGTGAGAAAGCATACGTCTTAAGGCACATATGTTATCTGTGGACTTCCATGAATACCCCAGACCACTACTGTAAGAAAAGTATCCTATGAATAAAGTAACCTGCTACAACCCCCAATCACACTGTCATCCACACTTCTGAGCGATTATTTGGTTTCTCCTCTCTTGACACGATCATGATGCCAGAGGAAACACCAAGGCATCCAAATTCCATATCTTCTGTCCTGAGAGAGAGTCTTTGTGAGAAGCAAGTCACAAGAAGCCATATATTTTCCTTCTAGAGTCTTCTATTAATTTATCCTAGTTCTCCAGACTTATTATTAGCTGATTTTTTCAGTAGCACCTAACCGGGGTCACAGTCACTGAATAATCGCCCCAGGGTTGAATAAACATATACTTCCCCTTCTGTACTCTGGTTGGTCAAACAGTGGGAAGAACACCCCTCTTCTCTTACAGAGCAAATCAGTCAGACCGGATTTACCCCAGCTTGATTTCTCCTTTCATCCTGACAGCTTTTGAAAGACTTTCCGGACGAGCTGCGTTCTGACATCACTATGCACTTGAACAAGGAAATCTTGCAGTTGTCCCTCTTTGAGTGTGCCAGCCGGGGCTGCCTCAGGTCTCTGTCTCTGCACATCAAAACCTCTTTCTGTGCTCCGGGGGAGTATCTGCTGCGTCAAGGAGATGCTTTGCAGGCCATCTACTTTGTATGCTCAGGCTCCATGGAAGTTCTTAAAGACAGCATGGTGCTGGCTATTCTTGGTAGGTCTAAGTTGAAAAGGTTCATGAAATGTTACCCTAGGGCGTAAGTTAAGAAGAGAAAACGGGGGTGGGGGGGATACTGCTCCTGTAAGAAAATTCTGGATGAATATATGGGATCAGGATTATTCTTGAAGTGGATTTAATTTGCCAACTGTTTATTATTAATTATTATGCCACATACTGAGTTTACACTGTGCTGTTACATCTAATATATCATTTCATTCTTGTTAAAAATCCAGCAGTATGGATCTTAACCCTATTTTGGAAATAAATAAATAGTATTTTAGTTAACTTAATTTGTCCCAAAGAACATAATAAGAAAATGAACACAGTTCTTTCTGATTCCTCAAGCCAAATTATTGGTCATGATATCTGCTGCCTTTTGGTGAAATAGCTGGTCAATTTTAAGAGGGTGTTCTATATTTTTGTGGAGAACAAATTCAGAGAAGAACATAAAAATTATTTCATCTGAACTAGAGATAGTGCAAAAATGATTACGCATTGAGAATAAGCTCTCATGACAGTCACTGATCCCATATTGTCAAGATGATCACAAGCTTTTTTTTCCTTTCTCAAAGAAATTCCACAGAATGGTTTGTGAAGATTTTATACCACAAAGTTGACTCCCATCTATCAAGACATAATTGGTTTCCGGGGCACCTGGGAGGCTCAATGGGTTAAAGCCTCTGCCTTCGGCTCAGGTCATGATCCCAGGTTCCTGGAATCGAGTCCCATGTCGGGCTCTCTGCTCAGCGGGGAGCCTGCTTCCTCCTCTCTCTCTGCCTGCCTCTCTGCCTACTTGTGATCTCTGTAAAATAAATAAATAAAATCTTAAAAAAAAAAGACATAATTGGTTTCCATTGAAATATAAGGTCAGCTGACAAAAATGGCATGTAGTATTAATGTAGAAAAATTCCTGCTCACATTTTTACATCTACATTTACTTCTTTTAAAATCACTCTCCCTTGTTTGTTTGTTTATTCAACTAATATTTATTGAAGGCCTAAGAATGTGTCAGGTTGTGGCCTAAACAATAAATACATTTTGAAAACCAATGGAGTACATCAATGTTTAGGATTTGTGTTAATTCAAAGAGGCTAATTTATTTTTAATGTCATTTAAGTACTAAGATTTATAGACAACTTAACCATTTATAAAACATGTTTACATATGGGGTCTTATTTAAGCCTTTCTAATACAAAGAGACAGACAAGAGTGGTATTTTCTCTATTTTTCCAAAGTCAAAGCTAACCTAGGTCTTTTGACTCTATCTCCAGTGCTCTTTTCCACCTCTAAGTGATGCCTGTTATTCTATATAATCATTATAAACCTGATATCACTGATTCTAGTTCATAAGCTTCAAGACAGATTATACTTTGGGAAAAGGGAAGAGAACTAAAATGTATTGAGTCCCTAATATGAGCCAGGTGTTTTATGTCCATTATCCAATTTAAATACCGTTCCCCGGTGGGGTTAGGTTGGTGTGATGATCCCTGATTAAAGGTAAAGTGGTGGAGGTTAGTGAATAGTGAAATACCCACGGGTTTTTCATTGCTTCATAGTCACTCAGTTTGCTATGTCAATAGGCAGACTATAAAACTGGGAGGAATGTAGGGCTTATCTTTTATTTTTATTCATTTTTTTAAAGATTTTATTTATTTATTTGAGAGAGAAGGAGAGCACAAGCAGGGGAGAGGCAGAGGGAGAAGGAGAAGCAGGCTCCCTGCTGAGCAGAGAGCCTGACTCCGGCTTGATCCCAGGACCAGGATCGTGACCTGAGCCAAAGGCAGACACTGAATACACTGAGCCACCCAGGCGCTCCAGGCTTGTCTTTTAAAGCTTTGGCTCATTTCTTGACTCAGCCTCTTGTGTTTTTTCTCCTTAACAGAAAGGTTGGATGGGGAAGTGGAGGGTAAAGGGCTAGGGCAACTGGGTGATGGGCATTAAGGAGGGCACTTGATGTGATGAGCACTCGGTGTTACATGCAACTGATGAATCAGTAAATTCTACCCCTGAAATTAGTAATATACTAAATGTTAACTAAATTGAATTTAAATTAAAAAAATTTTTTTTTTTTTTTAAAGTACGGAGTAGCAACTGACAGTTTATTTTCAGTTTGGCCTGTTCATTATCAATATCAGAACGAGGCTCTCTGTGTGTGTGTTTAAAAAGGAGAATTTAACATTCCTGCTCACTTATCAACTTTGCAAAGTTAACGGCCATTCTGTTATTTTGTGATTCTAAATTAAAATTGACAGTTATTTCTAAATTTGCTTCAAAAACTCATCTTTAATCATGAAATACTTTTCCATGGGTTTCCTTAGGACCATGTCAGTTTTATAGTCTGCCTATTGACATAGCTTGGTTTTAAGAGGGCATATAGTTATCTTTCCAAAACTATGTCATTTGATATGCTTCTAAGCAAAAATAACGTACTATGTTTAAATATATATATTTAATCTGTAATCTGTTTCTTTTTTCCATAATCTTGGTGTTATTTTTACATTCGGTAACTAGCAACAATTCTAGGAATGAAATATGAAGGTATCGTCCATAACATTAGAACATAATAGGTACAAATTCAATGGCTTCTAGGTAATTAACATTGTTTGTAATACATAATTCAGCTGGATTTTTTATTTAAAAAAATTCTACTCACAGCTGAAAGATTTAATCCATTGCCTTTTGCTCTTGGTCCCAATTTCCTCCACAAATTATGATTTTCATGATTAACATTTTCACATCTTCATTTCTACTATGTCGAACATCAAAAGTGATTTAAATGCATATTGCCACATGACCATTCTAAATATTCGTATGTGGTATTGCGACTAAACCCAAACAAGGATAACAAATTATTCATATTTTATCTCTGTGATTAACTTTATTTCAATGGAGATTGACTATTTTACTTTCCCCATGGTAATATTGTTTTATAGGGCCAATTAAAATCAATACAGCCTTTGGTAAACTTGAGCACGTGGCTTCACATTGGATCTGTAGATATTTAATACATATTCACTGTGCCAACAAAATGAATAAATATATAATGTTGTAGGAACAAGAATCACCAAACAGCTCTCAAGCCATAACTTATTCGAGCAATTCAGTTGTCCAGTCAATACGTGAAGACATTTCTTAATCTGATGCCTGGGGATTCGTTTGCCTTGTACACTTGTATTTCATGTCCTGGTACTTGTGTTTTTCTACCAATTTCTTCATTGTTGTCTAAAAGAAAATGACAAAGCACTGATAAATGTGCTCTTCACGATGGTATTAGTCTATCTAATTATAATTAAACCTGTTATTGCTCAAAGTTGGATGGTTTGCCAATCCACCATCAGCTCCCCCTTTCCCAATCCCTTCCCCCGCCCCGTGGAAGAGTAACTTGTTAGCAAATACCAGTAAAAGAATTCTGAAAAATGGGAATAGTAAGAGACCATAGAAGTCTTTCTCTTCTTTTAGAAATAAGGATACTGAGACCTAGAGTAAATAAGAAACTTTGATCAAAGTCCTAAATCTAGGTTGTGAGAAATGCACAAGACCGGAAAATCAGGGAGGGTAGGGACCATGTTATTCTTTACCAGTGCACACGTGCTGGGGCTCAACACGAGTTCCAGTTCGCACGTTAATGCTTCATAAATACTTGCTAAATGAATGAATAAGCAGATTCTTTCTAGAGTGCCAAGGTTGGCAAGATGTTGGTGTTGTTTTTATAGCTGGGGTCACTGTGACTTAAATAGCCATGCTGTGGCCACCCGAGGTATGGAAGTATGTAGACCCTACAGTCATTCCGAACACCAGTTGCTTAACAGAAAATATAAATGCATTTTGTAGCAAGACACCACATCGTGATAAACTCTCCTTAGATATACAAATTTCAAAACTGGCTATATTCAAAGCATCCTGGGTATATTTACATCTTACATCGGTACCTGGCTGAGTTTTTGAGCACCAATTTAGATTTCTAACAAAATGTATAAGAAACAAAATTGCCAAGTTTAGCAGTATGGCTGGACAACAATAGATCCAACTTGAATCCTTTAGCACCACGTGGTTGTACAGTCCCTGACCGTCTGTAAGTGCAGATTTTAGTCCTTTTTTCCTTTGGCCAAATAGGCTCATCTTCAAGGTTTGAATATAATGTTATTTCAGAGATAATACTCAGATGTAATTCTATAATTTTAAAATGCCCCATTTTTATCTGTTACATATTTATGAATATTTCAAGTATTCATGGTTAATTTGGCATGTTTCCTTTTCCTGTGAAATTCAATAATACGGAATTTTATTGGAGTCTGCTACAATGCAGAGGCTTTCCTTCCAGAAATGCTGGGCACAATAAAAAATAAAAATCTGTAAGTTAAAAAATGAACTGAATGGGGGACAGGACAATTTGTTCCATACGTCCCTAAGATATTCTTTCCTTGGTGGTTTCTCTGTTGGGTCCATGGTTGGTTGTTGATTCCCTGTTGAGATGGAGCAAAGCAGCCATTAAGAAAATAATAATAAAATTTCAAGCCCAGGCAGGAGGACAAAGCCAAGAAACTCCCAAGTCGTAGCCATGAATCTCATGCCAGTGTCCTCTGTGAACGTAGGTTATAATACTTCCGTGGCAAACCTAGGTTTGTCTGAGGATGGAAAGGATTTTCTTTCACGTATCTCACACGGATGCCGAGTGAATTAATGGCTGTGTCTAAAATAAATTCGAGGGGCGTCTGGGTGGCTCAGTGGGTTAAAGCCTCTGCCTTCAGCTCAGGTCATGATCTCAGGGTCCTGGCATCGGCCTCTCTGCTCAGCAGGGAGCCTGCTTCCCCCTCTCTCTTTTCCTGCCTCTATGCCTACTTGTGATCTTTCTCTGTCAAATAAATAAAATCTTTTAAAAATAATGAAATAAAATATCTGAAGCTGCAATCAGCTCTTTGTTAGCTCTTACATTGATGCTCACCTTCCTGCTAGGCTAAATGGATTCAAATGAACCCAAAGACTTTAAAGATTCAAATACATTGTCCAATGCGATCTAATCAGCAAACTCAAGGAAGCAAGCTAGTTCCCAGGCGGAGGAATCCAGCCTCAGACTGAGAGGCGGCGGCATTTTAGGGCAAATAGCAGGGGTGCTGGGTGAGGTGTGGGCGCAGGTAACAAAGTGGTGGTGGGTGTTTCTCCCTGCAGTGGGTGTCTCTCCCTGCAGTGGTGCAAGCCCAGACCTCATAGCTTTTGTTTGCTTTCGTTTTTGATGGGAAAATTGGCCTTTTACGCTGTCACAGAGTGTTAGAAATATGGTTGTGTTTCACATTTTCATTTGGTAGGTTTCACCGTCCTCGTCCTCGATGTCCCCTACCTCTCTGTGCCCCACCCTGTTCTGAGGCTAGGGAGGGAGGGCACCTCCTCCCTCCTCACCCTCTCTCTTGTATAGGTGTTTGGAGGTAAATAAAAGAACCTGAGTACTAGCAAGCTGATGATGAAGCCATTATTGTGTTAGAATCAAAATCACTAATACACATTTTCATGGTCTTCTACAGCGTCGCCCCCCGCAAATTGGAGCCATTATTATTTCTCCTGAATAGTTGAGGCAACTGTGACAAAAATGTCAACTGCTTTGTCTAAAGTCATTTATCGAATGCCATGAGGAACTGTCTGGAGCCCATCTATGACCGACCGTTCACAACTCTGCTCTCCTAGTTCTTATCCCCCAGACCACCGTTCTCAACCAGGAGCAGTTGTGCCTGCCAGGGGACGTTTGACAACGTCAGAAGATATTTTCGGTTGTCACTGCTGGGGGTCGGCAATATGAGATGGCGGTAAACATTATACTGTGTACAGGAAGCTCCCCCACCAAACAAAGAAATACCAGGCCCCATATCTCAGGGCTGCGGAGATGAAGGTGTCTTTTTCTTTTGCAGTGTCATCTCAGAGAAGGGAAGCCTGTAAGTGAAATGAAGTTTCCAGTCCCATCTTGCTTTTCTTTGGAAGTGACATGTCTCTTTTTTTCACTGTTTCAAGGGAAAGGGGACTTAATTGGAGCAAACCTATCAATTAAGGACCAAGTAATCAAGACCAATGCAGATGTGAAGGCTTTAACCTACTGTGATCTTCAGTGTATCATCCTCAAAGGACTCTTTGAAGTGCTAGACCTTTACCCAGAATATGCTCACAAATTCATGGAAGACATTCAGCATGATCTCACATACAACCTTCGAGAAGGTCATGAGAGTGATGTAAGTCTTACTTCTAATTAATGCTGAGATCTAAACGATGGGGCCTGGAGATCATTTATAACAATAAAAGCCCATGTCATGACTTCCCTTGTGAAAGTCTCTGAATGGATAAGGTATGATTATTCAGCCACTAGTTGAACAACCAAATAATTACCTAGAAGTCAAGGGTGGAATTTATCAGCATTCTAGAAAAGTATTGTTTATAGATGACCTCCCTTAATTCAGTTTCTTTCTTGTTTACCTTCATGTGTTTATAACTAGAGTCAATTTCAGTGACATATAATATTTAGCTGCAGTTGTGTGTTTTCTCCAGAATTTAAGGATTTCCAGATAGAATATATGGCTCAGAATTTGCTGTGTTTGTAACTATTTACTATTCTGCTTGCTTGTTAGGGAGTTTGCTTAAAAATAATCTTTTTCTTAACCAGTACCCAAAACAGTCTATCTTAAAATGACTAAATATGCATAAAAAGATTCAAGCCAAAGATTGTCACGCTGAAAGTATAATGAGCATTTTATGAAACTATAAATTTGATGCATGTTTCAGTTTATATAAACAGCTTTCCTAACAAAATAGGTGCTACACTGCACCCTGGGATTAAGCTGATCGCGAATATGACTTCATTACATGTGTCAGAGACACAAATGATTTAATAGGCATGATTGTTGAAAGGCAAGCCAGAGCATGAATAGTGTTCTCTAACAACAGAAGTCTTGATTGCTGCCTTGAGTTTTGTCCCAGATATTTGCAATACTCGATTTTTTTTTCCCCTGAGACTTCAAGGAACTATTGTGTTGACAAACCTATATTATGTAGGCATTTTGTTAGTCATTAATATTCCTCACTTTGGAAGGTAAAGAATATAAGTTGTATATCACTTCATCTTCGTTGAGGATATCAAGTGACAGTCAATACATAGATGGTATCCCATTCTGAAGTTCAAGATTAACAAGTTTTGAATGTGTGCTCCCTATGGATGATAGCAAACAGAAAAGGAGGTATCAGTATTTGTTGGGAATCTGTTTGTGCTAAGCACTCTGCCTAGATAAACATCTCACTTAGTGCTTAAAATGATTTTGTAAGGTAAGTATCGATCAATCTGTATGGAACAGAAAACAGATTGAGAATGGCTAAGTAACTTGTGCCTAGTCACACAGACTTATAGGTGACCGGGACAGAGTCTGAACACAGATAGCTGTCATTTTATATGCTATTAGTTATGTTGTCTCTGCTGAAGACACTTTTCATATCTTCTGATTCAACAGATGGACTTATTTTTTTTTTTAAGATTTATTTATTTATTTATTTTAGACAGAGAGAACGTGGGGGGAGGGGCAGAGGGAGAGGGAGCATCTCAATCAGACTCCTCATTGAGCACACAGTAGGGCTCGATCCCATCACCCTGAGATCATAACTTGAATCAAAATCAAGAATCAGATGCTTAACCGACTGAGCCACCCAGGTGCCCCTTGACACATGGACTTTTAAAACTACAGTTGTCTTTTTGTACTCTCTAAGACAACCTAATGGGACAACTATTTTTGAAGTGTGGAAGTGTGCGAGAGGGTGGAAGGAACCAGAGAGGAAAGAAGAAATCCAGCAAGAGAGAAAGAGCCAACATGCCTTGGCCTATTAAAGTGGAAGATATGGATCTCAAGCCCTGTCTTCTTTATATTTGATTCCTTTATAAGGATTTGTATCTCTAATCAAATCTTTTATCCCCTTTTATCTATTTTCCAGAACATGAATTGGAGTGATTTTTAGACTCCCATACTTGAATTGCCTGGGGGATTATTTTCATTATCTGTTCTTTCTCTTGCGTTGTTTTGTTGTGGCCGTTTGGTTCCTTCTTTTTAGCAGATGTCATACTTTTGTTTAAATTAGATGTGTCTTATGAAAATTATTCTATTATTTTCCTCCACTCAGGTAAGGTTTTCTCTTGGCAGACAGATCGAGTTCCAACCAACCAATTTCATCGTGCCCAGAGTTCCTCTTAGGTTTTGTTAAGGCCATCATCTGGGGCTACAGCCTCCACCCTTAAGACGTGCTTTTTCTGGAATCTCAGCTGAAAGCCTGAGACGTTTACCAGGGCCTCTCCTGTTTGGTGGGGCTTGAACTTCCCTCCATCTCCTCAGCACTCATTGCGGCTGAAATCTCCGCTCCTCCCAGGTGCTCTCATCTTCCGAGTGGCTTGGAGCACTACCCTGTGCATGTGCTCATGTTAGCAGCTGGCTCATGTGTCCAAGTCCACACGGATGCAGTTACCTGCTCCGTGGGCTTCTTCTCTTCAAATCCCAGGGGTTTCGGTATCACCTGAACGTCATTTCAGTCTCCTTTGCCAGAAGATGATTCCTTTCTGTTCTGCTCTATTCCCCCTCACAACGAAATAGCGAGTTCTCTCCAGAAGATGCCTGGATAAATGCAGAGCACGTGTTGGTGTGCCCCTCTTCTCTCAGGGACCACGGCCCTTCAAATCTTCCCTGAGCTGACTGCTCCAGTGCTTTCAAACTGTTATTTTATGCATTTTGTCCAGCTTTATTTTTTACTCGAGGGTTAGTTCAATACAAGCTATTTCATTACAGCTGGAACCAGAAGTATTGCTTCTTTTCAGCTATGTTTTTAAGGGCAAATGGGAACTGGAACTTACCCCTGAAACCTTTATTGTTTTGTTTTTTCCTAGTCATTTATCACTCAAAACTTTTCTCTCTCAATCTCTCTGTATCTTTATATTTATATATATATGTATATATTTTTATACACACACACACACGCATATATATATATACACATACATATACCTTCAAGATGTTGGGATGGTATGCCTCCTAAAGGCTTGATAAATTTAGGCCACCCTTCCCCATAATTCCATACCCTGGGGGAAAAGTCTTCCGGTCTTTATAAGCGTACTCCAACTTCATGGTACATTTGTATTCTGATGGTGACCTATGGTTATGAATTCTTGCTTTGCAACTCTGCTGTAAGATCAATGGGATACCCAGCATCTTTCCTTAATTTCCATGTACACACAAACAAAAATATCTAATCACACAGGACTTTTAGTGGGTTGAAGCCTTTGGTGATCAGTGGGTTGTAGAGGAAGGAACATTTGCATAATGGAAATGCAAACAATATAAATGTGAGATAACTATATATCCTTATTCTTAAAAATCAAGTGGCCATTCTGCTGCATTGTTCAGCCCTTTCTTCCTGCTCTCATCACTCTCTTTTTCTTGCTCTTTCTTTATCTCAAATTCCCCATTATTTCTGATATGTATTAGTTTATCCCCCACTCTTTGGCTGCCTTTTGTCTTTCTCATTCTGCCTCTGGATTCACTGGTACCCCTTGGAACTTACACATTATTAGGTGACACAGAACATCAGAGTAAAGAGAAGACTGATGGTCAACCCATTTTGAAATAAAGATCAGAAAAGCATTTTTAGAAATAGTCAAAAATTAGGGGCACCTGGGTGGCTCAGTGAGTTAAAGACTCTGCCTTCGGCTCAGGTCATGCCGGGATCCTGGGATCCAGCCCCGCATCGGGCTCTCTGCTCAGCAGGGAGCCTGCTTCTTCCTCTCTCTCTGCCTGCCTCTCTGCCTATTTGTGATCTCTGTCAAATAAATAAAATCTTTAAAAAAAATAGTCACAATTTAGAAGGAATATGTATGTAGCTGTGGTAAGATATAACTCCTAGAGCTATGATAAATTATGTAACTTTAGAATGACACCTCATTCGATTCTCATGGGAAAATTAACTAAAATATATAATATTCTAGTTTATGGAAAGTCTAGCTAGCATGGTTTGGATCTCATACTAATTATGCATCATAGGCACCCTGTGTTTTCTATCTTTGCCTTATTTATTTATAGCTCCTGGATAACTCCAACAATGGCGTGGATTAATTTAGCTCTTTCTGTCCATGCAGATTATGAGAAATTTGCTTCACTACTTCTCATGGTAGACCCTATAAAATTGGCTTTAGCACAGACTTGTTTGTTGTTAGTTATGAAATTTAGTGCCTTAATATAAGAATTTTGAGTTTGTGATAAAACAATGATTGAAGAGTATCTAAAATATCTGTTTTCAAAAGTTAATAATGCTAATACACTGAAAATCAGATATCGATATGGCTACGTATAAATACGGATGTGCTTCTCACATGGTAGACACTGACTGAGGGGTGGTATCGTGGTTATGGAGCAACAAACAGCAATGGTTGTTGAAAAAGAATGAGAAATTCTAGGAGTGCCTGGGAGGCTCAGTTGTTCCGCATCTGCCTTCAGCTCAGATCATGATCCCAGGGTTCTGGGGTCTGGTCCCACATCAGGCATCCTACTCAGCGGGAAGACTGCTTCTCCCTCTGCCGCCCCCCTTGCTTGTGTTCCCTCTCTTGCTGCGTCTCTCTCTGTCAAATAAGTAAATAAAATAGTTTGTTTTTTTTTTAAGGAAAGATAAATTCTTACTGAGGGGTTATCAATGATGAAACCTATTCAGTTTTAAGTGTTACCTCATTTTCCCTCAATTTCTCATTGTCATGTAATCTGATCAACTTAAAAAAAATAATAAAGTCTCCTCCTTCAGATTTTCCACCTCTTTAGTAGAGGAAGGGGTGTTTCCCCAGTTTCTTGAGGGTCAGTGACCTCTAGGAGAAGGACTTTGAATGCCCATCTCCAATATAGCACAAGAGGCTACAGCAAAGTTCAGGGAAGACCCCCTGGGCAGAGACAAGGGAGCCCTCGAGGACGTTCACATTCAGCGGCTTCTTCCCACTTGGACGTATTTGATCATACTGCGGTTGTTTAAGGTGCTGACCTATCATAGCTGCTTAAAACTTCCACACTACCTTAACATCCCAGCTCCCCACAATCTACGTCTACTCTCTATATAGACCAAGCACCATGCTTAAATAGCGCAGTTATAAAAATGGAACACTGCAAATTCTCAAGTGACCTTCAAATGAAACAAATGCAAGTATAAACATAATTTATTGCAAAAGTTC